TTTTCGCACATGAAAGCTGATCGTGTGTAGTCATCCTGCCAGCTCTCTGCATATAGCTGGCCAACCATCACATTTTCCTTGTTGAAAATTGGAGTTGATTGACGTTGAAATTGTTGCGTTGAGCTCACAGATTTGATCCGCAGGATCGTGAGTTGTGTCGTGTAATTGAAGGATCGTGGTTTATCTCTTCTGATATCGACCGTACTACTGAAAGCTATGTTGTAAATAATGAAGCTCTAAATTTTGAAACGTCTCGAACCCTGAGTGACCATTGGGGTAGGCACCGACCTTGAAGAGAAGGGCGAGAGTTGATAGGGCTCAAGCTGACCCGGGAGTTCATGTAAGGTAGAGCCATTCTCCCAATGCCTCATAATCCGGCGAGAAGGCATGATCTTATTGAATTCGATCAAATGAGCTCACATAATGGAAAAAGGCCAACTTTCATACTCGGATTTAAAAGATCAACATGCATGCGACCTCGCGTGACGAGCTCTTTGCAAGCGAACCCTCATCGGATTCGGCATCGGGCGAGACGGATTATGTAAGCTCTAATGACGGCCTTCTTGACTCAAAGGATGAAGAAATGTTTTGAGAAAAACGAGCTCGAGAGAACGGTAATCCGATCCGGGAAGTCGTGGAGGATCTCTCCGCTCGAAAGTCAAAAGAAGGATGCTTCTCACGGTTTGCACAAGAAAAGTCCGCCCAAACCTATCCAAAACACTGCTTCTGAAGAGCAGAAACAGAATTTCGGGAAAAGAAAGCCAAGAACGGCGAGACTCTTTCTGATTAGAAATAATAGCGCTTCTAAACAATTGTGGCACAGATTGCTATTGCTCATCATCACGTAATTGACACTTTCGGGTTGATTTGCACGTACATTGGATAAGCTGCTTTTCCATTCGACGCACGAGAAGAAGGCGCACAAGCCGACGCGCGCGGCTGGTGGACACATGGCAGCCGGAGAAATAGTCGGAGTAGTACCAGGACAGCCTTTTGAAACCGTCTTCGCTCATAAAGAAATGTCGTTAAAGATTATGTTTCTCTTGTAGCATTTGTGCAGGTCGAAGGAATTGGAACAGATGCCCTTCAGTGAGCTGGAACGGATGCCCTATCAGCTCGCGTTTCGCGCCACAATGCACCAGGCGAATCAAATCTAACCGTCTATTGTGGGCCGCAAAACGCGTTTCGAACGAAACATCCGATCAAAACGGAAATTATGGGTGAATTTGAGCCGGTCGGGGAGGTGCGGATAGGGTAGACTCGGGAATCAATGCACGTCAAGTCGAGCAAGCGAGGCTTCCGTGGGAAGTCATATGAAAAAGATGACATACAAGTTGAAACGTCTTCTGGAAAGATCTAGTCCGCAGAAGGAAAGATGTTGATCCAATGTGCGGATTGGTGCTCCGTTGTGACGCCTAGAGAGTGTTTTCATACCGTCTTGGTAGCTGTCGAGATTCGGGCGGTTACTGTGCGCGATATCTTGGGTGACGTCAATAAGACGATAATTGGAGTTAGCGGTTGGCAAATAAATGCGCGCGGGTTACAGTATTACATCCGAATAATTTTTAGGTTAACCGCCGTAAATGATGAGTAGATTCGATAGTAGCCGTAGAAATTCAAATTTATTAAGATTAATCTGCACGAGACTTTCGGCTTTGCTTATCCGCGATCAACTGAGCCTATAAGAGTATGAAGATAGCTTTAGCGCCGCTATACTTCGAACACTTGAGATGCATTGTGTGAACTTTGATCATTTGTTCATTCATTCCCAACAACGCCATGTTTCAACAGTGGCCAATAACATCGTGAACCTTTTGAATGTTAACATCTGCCGGAGTTAAAGACGCGAGTTTGCCATTCGTCTCCTGATGAAGCACGCCGAACAAGAAGAACCTCTCGAAAAGCTACTTCGTCACTACCCTCGACGACTAGTTACCGTCGCCCTCGGTTAGATTTGATGCCTTCCTTTAAGCTCGCTGCTTCGAAAAGCCTGCAATCCTGATCGCACGAATGCCAAATGAGTAGCTACGTTCACGAGATTACTTGAAGAAAAGTCAATCTAAAGCTTCAGAGGTGTAGACTTCAGGTTGGAACGTGATTTGAACTAGCACGTCAGTGGTGCAAAGCGAATTGTCTGAAGAACTCCTTCGTGAAGAAAATTGTTAAGCATGCGCGGGTACTTTGAAAGATCCATTTGAGTTAACGTGGATAGGTTCAAACCGTCTTCTTAAACCACTTTTCAAGTGTATTCTCACCAGTCACGTTCTCAAGAATGTACGCCTGAGGACTTCAAAAAGATGCTGGCCGACATCAAGCTCGGTGAAATCCAACAGTGGATCAGAAAGCCAAGCTTTTGGTCTCAATAAGAAGCAATATCCAAGCCTTTACTCGAAGTAAGTGAGAATTGCGGTACACAACCCCGATTCAACATGAGATGGATATAGTCAATGATGCCCCGGCCAAGATGAAACCTGTTAGCAAATTTCCTACGTTTGAAGAGCAGAAAGTCGCAGCTGAATTCGCTCAAAGGTTGATTCAAGAATGCTAAAATGTTTCTGAAAAAAAGCGTCTTAGAGCGCCATTCAAATGCACAACTACTAGGAACAAGTCCATCACAGTCTCGAGAGGATAAGTCAAGTCTAAACACGTAACCCAGGCTACTCTAGCTTATTTGGACGTAGGTACCAAAGTTTGCTAGTCTTACAATATGCGTCATTGATGATGTCACACAGGGTTAAACCCCTACCACACACGAAATGACTAAGGGTAAACATTGAGCAGTAACCCGGCATTTGACAAACCCTAAGGCGTTCCCCTAGGGGCCCACCCGTACCCAACCTAACTCCCCAGCTAACTCCATCAAGATCGGTATTTGCCCTCATTGTAACCCGCTTTTGCCACGAGCACTTTAGCGCACCCAATTAAACTTGGTGGTACCGACCATATCCTACAAATATGTACCGTACCCCACCACTGTCTCGCTGATGTCAAGGATGACGTAGTTTTCAGACTCGCAAAGCTATGTAGTCTGCTGCATACGTGGAGCCGCTATTTGCCTAGATGTTCCCTTTTCAATTCGACGGCCAAGCTTCAATAACTCCAACAACTACCATCGGACGACCCACACGACTCGACATCGGAAAAATCGGGTCTCGCCGCGCGTATTTAGGATGGTGTGCCGCCGGCAAATACGCTTGAATGGGCCGTGCCGCGCAGGTGCCGCACAGGCTGGTGCCGATTTGAGCGGCAAAGTCGTTCGCCGTGCGGCGGAATTATCTGACGCGCGGCGCCCTTGATATATATGGGCGGCGGTATGCGTGCCGATCCCCAATGTAAACGGCAGTTGTGTTGCTGTGCATCAGAGTGATGAGATGCCGCCCGGTGTGCCGGTTACATGTCTGGATGTTCATGCCCTTGTGCCGCATGGTGCCGATCGGGTGCGTACCGCCAGTCGCGGCGCCGCGCAGGAGCCGCGGCGCATGCCGCGGGGCGCGGATATTCAAAAACCCTGCCAACGCTTTTGCCTGTGTGAATGCCCGCGCGCACGTGTCGGATATACTCCATTTAGGGTTTTAGCGGGTCACGATACTCAGGGTTGCCAGATCTAGCGGGAAACATGATACACTCAGGCTCATTTCCAAGATAGGCTCGTCGACAAAGGGCGCTTGACTCATAAGGGCGCAAGACCTTGCTCCTGGTATTCTTCCAGTCCCCGTCAGCCAACACTCGAAATGCGGCAAAGGTTTGCCAGGCCAGATGAAGCAGGGCCCTCTAACCAGGCCCAGGAAACTAATGCGCCGGAGCCGGCGCGGGGCAGCGGGGGCAAAGGGCCCATGAAAAAGCCTCCCAAGTTGAACAAACACCTAGACAAGCTGAAGCAAAAGCGCAATAAGCTTGAGGAATCTCGGAAGGCGGCGGCTGCAGGAAAGGGAAAGCAACCCGTGGCGGGTGAAAAGAGAGGCCGGGACGTGGCAGTGAAAAACCCGCCTACCCCCACTCAGGAGCCGCCCGCCAAGAAGCGCTACAAGGCGCGCCTCCCCAGTCCCTCAAGGAGATCAGGAAGTACCAGAGAACCGGCGCCCTTCTCATTCGCCGCTTGCCTTTCAACCGTGTGATTAGAGAGATCACCATCAACGTCACCGGGCGGAACGACATTCGGTGAGTGCCTCAATGTGACCGTACTAGCGCAGGCTTAGGACTGGAATTGTAATGCTCGGGTTTGAAGACAATGTGATTTGTGTCGCCCTCCTTTTTAATGCAGCAGCTTTTTCTTCGTGCATTCTGAAGCAATGCCGTTTGTGAAATGGCTACTTCAATCATTCTATGCGCGACTTTCTTTCACGGAGTAATATTCTTCTTTTGAGCGGCCCACTTGCTTCATCTAGCAATTTTGCTACCAAGCTTGTTGAAAATCGCTGATGGGCACCTTTGGTTTTGCTCTTTTGTTCTCAATACCTTTACTTTTCAAAGCTGGTCTCTGCATGTACCCTCAAATTTAGTTCTGCTTGAACCTGCGCAGGGTTTCAATTTAGACGTCCTAATGCTCGATATTTGAACGTCTGCGCGCCGCTCGTCTTGCCATCTTGAAACTTGTAGTTTTCAGAGCGGGCTGCTTGTTTTCATGTCCTACCTACTCTTCTCAATATTCTCAAAAGTGGCGTCGTGAGGACACTTCTAGTTTGCCTTTGGGCTGCACAATTCCACTGTAGTGTTGTTTCCCCGTCCCGCGCGAGATTTCAATATTTCAGCTTGATTGCAACGCTTTTGAACCCGTGCGCGCCTTTCATGATGGGCATTGGCTGACCGCGCATGGTTTCACATTTCACCGGTAAAGCAGGGCGCCAATGAATCTATGCGCTACCTCTACAGCTGGACCAATAACGCCGTCTCCGCGCTTCAGACTGCTACAGAGGACTACTCCTCCAACGTCCTCGAAGACGCCAACTTTGCAGCGGTGCACGCCAAGCGGGTCACTTTGCAACCCAAGGACATCAAGCTTGCACGGCGCATCCGGGGAGATCTTCCCGGAGACAAGACCGAGGTGCTAAAATCCTCGGTGAAGTACTTTGGTGCGGGAGAAGAGCTTGCCGGCGCACCGGAGTGGGACCCTCGGCTGAGGGAGCGGATTCCGGGCACGGGGTTCGTTCCACCCAGGGCAAAACGCAGCGGCGGTGAAGCGCGGCGCAGGGCGGAATACGACAGGCGCGTTAGGGAATTCCTCAAGGGGCAGCAGGAGACCCTTGTTGAGTCGGAGCCCGAGGAGGAGGAGGAGGACGAGACGGCAGCTGCAGCGGAAAGGGTGAGGGTGCTCGAGGCGGAAGTGGAGGAGAAGGCAAGGAAGAAGGCGTTGAAAGAGGCCCGGGAGCAGGAGAAGCGAGTGGCAGCGGAGAGGGCCCGGGAGTTGGCCGAGAACCGGGAGCCCGTGCGCGAGGAGAAGCTCGCTCAGGGGAGGGGGGAAGCTGAAGTGGAGCTCGAGGCGGCGCTCCTAGTCGCGGAAGGGTAGGAGGAGCAAATTGTCCAAGAAGACCAGTAGGATGGAAGGTGCAAGTGGAGCGGGTAGGATAGCTTTAACAACTTGCCATGCTTTTTCAGGTTTTAGAAATGGCTGCTTTGGGTGGTTTTTGTATAGAATTGAGAACGTGGAGCTCGTAGCCGGTGCTTCCTGACAGTTGCCATTTAAGAACCAACCATTTGTCTTGTATATGTAGTACGCTCCTGGGTTGTACAAATATGTTTGTGAATTCTTGTCATGAGCAAAGTCCCATATTCGCTTGCATCATGTTTAGGCGACCTGGCTGCACATGTGGCTACATGTACAATGTTGGCACAATACTATTCGAGTGTTCTATATGTTGCCCGCTGATCTTGCAGAGCGGCCCGGTCCACCAGAATCGTTTTTCAACGTTCAAATAGATATCTCTGCTACGCTAGCTGCGAATGCCGCGGCCTTGGAGGGCAAGCCGGTGTACGCCCGGCTCATGCACGATTGGAGGGTCTTTTCGGAGAAGGAAGTCACATCGGACGGAAGAGTTGTTGTTGCTGTCTTGGCGTCCTTCGTCGAGGAGCTTTCGAGAACAGCTTCCTTGCCAGAACCAGGTACGCTTCTCATGTACGTGTTAAAAACAAAATACTTGGTAGCCGTGCGCGCAAGATTTCACTGTGGAACTGTCTGGCAATACCTTGTGAATCTGTGCGCCGAACTGTGCAAAGATAGCGCGTGCGTGCGCGTGCCAGCAACCTGTCACTTGGCGGCCGCCCGTGTAAGGTTTGCGCACAGTTTCAAAGACATGGTCTTTCCTGCCGCAAATTGAATGTGTGCGCGAGTTCTGGGGCCTGTTGTGCAGCCGCGGCTCAACAGACGAGCCGCGGCCGCGTAGTGCTATAGCCGCGGCCGGCGCGCCGAGATTCACATTTCCGCAAATGATCGATCAAAATTGAATGCGTGCGCCAGTCCTTGCAATGCAGGTTCAGCGGAAGGTCCGGCCAACAGTAAGTGGTACTCACGGTGCAAGCGCATCAGCGACCTGTTCGGCGCTTCGAAGGGCCGTGGGCATGGTGTTCTCCAGCCCCCGGCCATCGATTCGAAGTACCAGGGGCTGGAGGGAAGAACGGTCTCCATTGAAGACGCGACCGTGTACGTCTTCAATGAATGGTTGGAGAGAGGGACGTGGGCCGAGACCAGCATCCAGATGCAGACGTGGAAAGAGCAGCGGGAAGCGTGGGCGAGTGAGGGATTGAGTACGGCTGATCAGCTGCGCCGGGAGGGGGAGGCAATGGCGGACATGCTGAGGGCGCTCCCCGTGTTTGTGGTTAGAGGGTTGTCCGGGGCGTACTACTCGGAAACGCAGCTGAAGTACGCTACGGGCACCAATGCCCACCCGTTCCAGCTGTACCAGATGTTGCGTGATTCGGCAAATAGAAAGGGAAGGGAAGGTGCGGTTGGGACGCCAGACGAAGAGCGAGAAGATGACGTTGGGGCAAAGGACTTGGGATGGCGGCCGCTGGGAGATAGAGACGAGGAGTCGGAGTTTGAGGTGGCGGAGGAAGTGGAGGGGGAGGGTGTCTCAAAGGAGCGACTGATCCGGGCAATCGGGTATGAAGTGCCGGGGGCCGCCGAACCGCAAGGCGGAGGAGTCGGGGCCCGGGAGCGAGCATTGGCGGCTCCTGCGGGAGGAGCATCGGCCGTCACCCTGAGGGTTGGGCTTGGTGACCTCTGTGCCGCAGACCGCACCCCCGAGGCCTTTGCAAAGATTGTGGTGCGCTCCGCCGTTTCGCAGGGGTTGGGCGTTCAAGGGGCGATGAGGCGGGCGGTTTGGCAGTATCAAGCTGTAGGGCGAGACCACGTGGCGCTTCGGCGAGAGTTCTTGAAGATTTTGGCAACTGTGATTGAAGCGGCGCCCGAGCTTCCGATTCCGGAAGCGCCCGGGCCGGCGGCGGCCGGCGCAGGGGGTCCGCGTTCTGCCACGGCCAATCAAGAGAATGCGGACGTCGACTCGGAGGGAACGGAGACGGACTTGGAAGGAGAAAGCGAGATCGAGGAGAGTGAGTCCGAGGAGGGGGGCTCAGAGAGCGAGGACTCAGGGTCGGTGGACTTGGAGAAGGAGGAAGAAGAAGAGATCGGAGGAAGCTTATTCTATGAGAAGGCGGGCAGGGAGACGACGGGTAAGGCGCCGGTTAAGGGTCTGGGCGATATGGGTCGTGGTTTTTGGGAGGCCTTCCGAATCCCGGGAGAGGCGGTCATGATGGCGAGCAAATATAACGCCGAAATCGCTGAAAAGTTCAAGGCAAAGCACAACCTCTGGCTTCTCAGCGTTCTTTCCCGCTTCTTTCCTACAACTATCCCGTTCCCTACACCGGATCACGAGGTTCTTTTTTCTGAGAATCTCGTCGGGCGGGCCCTGCCAGAAGCCTTCGATGAGCCGGGGCGAAACATGATGGTCGAGGCGC